TATATGGTTCTACCCGCTGAATTCTGCCCATCCAAGAAAGAATCCAGGCCTTTTTAAAGCAATCCACTGAGCTGGCCAGAACCAACTCTTGAGGGAGTCTATTCCACAGTTTCACAGCTCTTACTGTGAAGAAACCTTTCTGTGTTTGGAGATTAAATTACTTTTCCTCCAGACGTAAAGAGTGCCCCCTTGTCCTCTGTGATGACCTTATTCTGAATAACTCTACACTGAGTTCACTATATGAACCACTGATGTATTTGTACATGTTGATCATATCCCCCCTTAATCTCCTCTTCTCAAGAGAGAATAAATTCAGTTCCTCTAATCTTTCCTCATAGCTGATCTCCTCCATGCCTCTTATCAGTTTGGTTGCTCTTCTCTGTACTTTCTCCAGTTCCCCAATGTTCTTTTTGTGAATTGGTGCCCAAAACTGAACTGCATATTCCAGATGAGGTCTTACTAATGATTTGTACTGGGGTAATATGATATCTCTCTCTCTGGAGTCTATACCTCTTTTAATACAAGAGAGGATTTTGCTCGCTTTAGAAACCGCAGCTTTGCATTGCATGCCATTATTAAGCTTGTGATCTACCAGAACTCCCAGATCCTTCTCCACCATTGATTCCCCCAGTTGTACCCCTCTAGTATGTATGATGCATGCATATTCTTAGCCCCCAAGTGCACACCTTACATTTATCAACATTAAACCTCATTTGCCACATAGTTGCCCAATTAAACAGTGCATTGAGGTCGGCTTATAAATTGAAGACAACCTGTAAGGACGTTATTCCACTGCACAGCTTGGTGTCATCTGCAAAGACTGAAATGGGATTTTTAATCCCAGACCCTATATCGTTTATAAATATATTAAAAAGTAAGGGTCCCAACACTGAACCTTGGGGTACACCACTGACAACCCTAGACCATTGAGAGTATGAATCATTAACCACTACTCTCTGAATACGATGTTTTAGCCAGTTTTCTATCCATTTACATACTGATTTTTCCAAGCCCATAGACTTTACCTTACACATTAGCCCGTGTGTGGGGAACTGTGTCAAACGCTTTTGCAAAATCCAAGTATACCACGTCCCCCCCGCCACCCCTCTGTCCAAGGTTTTGCTTACCTCATCATAAAAAGAAATCAGATTTCTTTGACAACTTCTGACTTTCATGAATCCATGCTGTCTGTTGCTTAAAATATTTTTTCCAGCAAGAACTCATCTATGTGGTCTTTTATTAAACGCTCCAGTATCTAGAGCAGTTAAACTAACAGGTCTTTAACTGCTGGGTAAAGATTTTGACCCTTTTTTATATATTGGCACCACATTGGCCTTATGCCAATCCAGTGGTACTATGCCAGTCATTAAAGAGTCCCTAAAAATTAGAAACACTGGCTTTGAAATGACAGCTCAATTCTTTAAGGACCCGTGAGTGTATGTCATCCGGTCCAGGTGCTTTATTCACCTTTATTCTGTCTAAATATTTCTGGATCATATCAATTGTGAGCCAATGCGGATCATCTGGAGCTGTGTCAATACCATGCCCATTATAGACAAGAGGTCCCCCATGCTCCTTTGCAGACACAGAACTGAAGAAGGTATTAAATAAATTTGCCTTCTCTTTGTCCCCAGTCGCCCACTCTAGATTATTTTGTAAAGGGCCTACATGCTTGGATCGGACCTTTTTACTATTAATATATTTGAAGAGTTTTTTTGGGATTGGTCCTGCTACCTCTTGGATCTGTCGTTCGTTTTCAATTTTTGTAGCCTTTATTTCCTTTTTGCATATTCTGTTATATTCTTTGTAATGTTTAAATGATAGCGTTCCATCATTTTTATATTGAATAAAAGCTCTTTTCTTATTATTATCTATAGCTTTTTTAACTTTGGCCGTAAGCCACATAGGATTGATTTTTAGCCTTTTAAACTTGTTGCCCATTAATCAGTTCATTATTAGCATACCTTTTATTTTCACCTCACCATATATTTCTGTCAAGCCATTCATTCCAGAATGGATAAGCAGGAAAAAGTAAAATAGCTACTAAAATAGAAACCTTTTCTAAGTTTTGTCTGGAGTTCTCTTGAAAGAAATGTATAGTGTTTGTATATTATTTATTTCATTATGATCTGGACTACAAAAATTAAACACGTTTAACCCTGATTATTTTTTATTTTTAGTGTCCCTCAGGCAGTGAGGAAATTCTTGCAGTGAATATGGTATACCCCAGCAAGCTGCAGATTCTGCACAGTACAACTCAAACCCAAGCAGAACTCATGGCTCATCATCTACAATGAAGCATTTATCATTTATTCAGGTGAAAAAGAAATATTTACATTGCAAATAGAACAGTATATAATTCTGACAACTGTGACTTCAGGATGGTACATTGTAAAAACTCAGACGCAACGTTCATTTTCATACATTTTCAGTTTCTTTATATAAAGCGTAGTAAAACTGGGTCAGGCTTGGTTCACATCTGTGCGGGTTGTGCCGCTGCGGATCTGCACGAAAATCTGTGCCGCTGCACCACCCGCACAGAGGAATGCAGACCCGTGGGCGGGTGCCGTTAATTCTAATGGCACACTGCCCGCACTGGAAATCACAACTGCAATTGGAACCTAGGTTCCCGTGTGGGCTGTGGTTTCCAATGAAGTGCAGGGACTTCTTCCCTGCATGTCACGGGGCACGGGAGTCCATTGAAATGAATGGGCTCTCGCGCCCGCAAGGCCGCATATATGTGAACCAGGGCTAAGAGAGAATGCAGTTTTGAACGTATGGTACTGAGGGAGCTTTATGTCACTTCAGGTTAATTAAACAAAGCAAAAAAAATGATGATGATGGTCTTTACAGGTGATTTATTTCAAGATCAAAGCCATGGAGCTCATAGAATAATCCAATCTGTAGCAGCTTTCTAGTCCACACATTTCTTACCCTAGTTTGTGATTTAGCCAGTTTTATACCCACCTTATTGCCACGTCATCCTGAGGGATTTTCCACTGTAGAAAAAACAACTGGGGGAATACAGATGCAACAGGGTGACAGCTCTGTTATGGTAAGGCATAGAGAACGATTATAGCCTGCTGATGTCTATCTGAATTAGAAAATACTGTAACAACTCATGCACAAAATGATACAAGAAAATCATACAAAAATGGGCATTCAATGAAAAGTAAAATGAATCAGGTTTTTAACATTCATATTTGATAAATAATAGTGACAAATGAGTAGTTTTGTTTTAGGTAGATGTTGATTTGCAGGCTTTGTGTAAGGCTTCACTTTACAGTTTCCAGATGCCACATAATTACACAGGGCCTTGAAGATGGCCACTCCAACTGCTGCTTGTCTGTTTGTTAGGGGAGACCCTAATGAGGTCAATAGGACTGGCATGCAATACTGGAGCAACAGTATAATATCCTCCAGTGGCCTAATTATGACAAATGCAGATCTTACAGTGTATCTAGATATAAGAGGAACACACAATTATCATTTTTTTTAGCTGATCAACTATGTTATCTAGAACAATACTGGCTGTAAGTAGTTTGAAGTATACAAAAGGTATAATACTAAAGTATAGGAAGGCAGTAAGACTGTAATGTTTCTGTTTAATATCTCAATATTAATGTAACCAGACTAAGTAGAACTCTTCATAGCAGAAGATCTTTGGGCTTGTTCAATAGATCAGTGCAGGTAGTAACATGTACTGCATAATAATGGCAAGCAGTCAGAAACTATCTTGTACTTTCTGGCTTCAATAGAGTAAATTGTGGCTGAATGCTATAGATTACTACACTTTGCACCTTTTACTTTAACCCTAGTGAATATGCTTGCTTGACTCTTAGAAATCTATTTATAAAAAATTAGCTGGATGAAATTTGCAAGCATTCGCCCAGCTATTGCGATTTCAGACCGTTTTTGCCTAATATGTCGATTCCCTATGATTATCAGCTTCGTCTAGTGGTCATAGTGTATTATTTTTTCTGAAGTATCTTAGTCAGGGAAATACAGTATCACGGCTGCTAGATGGAGCTCACAATCATAGGAAATCACTGTATTAAGCAAAATATAGTTGGATTTCATAATGGCTTGGCGAATGATTGTGATGATTAGCAAACTTTTTAATGAGTAAGACCCCTTATAGTTCTAAGTGATATTTCTCTAGAGATGCATATCATGTGGCTTTTATGTTAGCAGTACTTTCCTTATCCATATAAATTAGTGATTTCAAAGTGCAAATCATTCATTCAAGAGAAATTATAAAAGACAAGCACAATACTACAGTCAATGTCTTGAATTCAGATAAGATTCAGTAAAGTTTCCTGGAAAGAGGGAAAAACTACCGTGTGAGTACAAAGACATAAAATAAAGAATAAGTTAGGAGCTAGTACATTACACATTGAATATAGTGCGACGGTTCAACTGCTCTGTAAATGTTAATTCCCTGTGAACATGAGGTTTAACCCATTGCAGACAGTTACCTAGTATGCAGTACACTGGTTTAAATATGGACAGTACCCAACTAGGGGGTTAAATCTCATGCTTACAAGTGATTAATATGTCATGTGTAGTTGAGCCCAAACTAGACGAAGATGTCAACACCTGAAAACAGCAATCTTGTTGCACAGATTTATTTGCAAAGTGCTTCTGGAACCAGTAAAGCTTTCATCTGTGCATTCAGCAAGTAAGAAGGATATTAAGTCAATAGGAAACAATCACAAGATGGAAAAGAGAGTTCTTCAGTTGCAGTGAAACCATCGCCGCACAGAGTCAAATGCATAGTTCATTTTCCTCTCTGATGTAGACCTAATGTAGGTCACGGTAGAATAACACATACAAGTATTTCATCTTCTTGGAATACCGCGCTCTGCAGATCTTCACAATGCCTTTCCGCAGGATCAACCAGAAGCCATATGTGTCATTTTGTAGATTCAGGCTGGGTAACACTGACTGGACTTCTCAGCCCACAACCACTGATGACTCAAATCAGCCGCTTCAAGAGTTCAACTTACTGCCTTCTGTTCTGTTACAAGACTTCTTGTGTGTTCATTCTGCTTCTCTTTCATGGTGGTGGATGCCGCTGACATTTGGCACGTGTCACTGTAAGCTTGTGGAGATCAAATAAAACTCTGTTATTATTTGAAACTGGCAATAGCTCTGCATATTGTCATTTGTTTTTTAAGTGAAACTTCACCCAAGAGAGGATGTTCTGCTTTTTCCTCCTCCCCCCTCCCTTCCTCTGTTATATTTGGAATATAGTTTTCTTTGGGTTAGTGCCTGGTTTTGACAGCTACCTGCTCCCACTTCTGGTCAGATCACCCCAGTGATTCCACTGGAAGTCCTCATCACCCCTTCCCTGCCTGCTACCTTCTGGGACACATCACAGGTCCCAGAAGGCTGCAGAACCTTTCACAAAGCAAAGCACGACGTGAACATGTGCAGTGGGAGTGGGCTTTGAAGCTGTCACAGCCGGCTGCCCACAGTTAACATGCCTCCTGGGAACCAAAGACCAGTGAAGAACTGGCCCTGTGAGGACAGTTCTTGATCCCAGGACAGGTGAGTGTCTGTTTATCAAACGTCAGCAGCTACAGGTTTTGTAACTGCTGACTTTTAATTTTTGCAGAACTGTCTGAAGTTCCTCTTTAATCACTTCAAGTCCGGACACTTTCACCCCCTGCCTGTCCAGGCCAATTTTCAGCTTTCAGTGCTATCACATTTTGAATGACAATTGCACGGTCATGCAACACTGGACCCATATGCATTTTTTTGGGACAGATAAAACTTTATTTTGGTGGTATTTATTCACCACTGGGATTTTTATTTTTTTGCTATATAAATGAAAAAGTCCAAAAATTGTGGATATAAAGTGCTTTTCTTATACAATTTTACAAATAAGTAATCTTTCTTCATGAATCTTGACCAAAAGGTATTCAGCTATCTTTTTAGTAAAAAAAAAAATATCCCAAATTAGTTTATTACCAAAAAAATTATAATTGTTCAAAAATGTTTTTTACATTTTAATTTTCTTTTTTTTACATTATTATTTATGTTTTTTTAATATACTGTCACCCTAGCAGTACAGTGTCACCATAGTGACACTGTACTACTTGTGGGGGGTGATGAAGATTTATTTTTTTTTCACACTGATTGCTTTTACACCCATAAAGGCTGCAAAAGCAACCATTTCTCCTTCTCTCTGGCTGCATTCCTGCAGGCATTGAGAAATACTGTGAGAGCTGTGATTGGTCACAGCTTGTCCCATGCTACAAGGCTGTTATGAATAGCCTTGTACCATGTGACCTCTGTGATCATTCACAGATTTCACAAGTAGTAAGCACTGATGTCAGGAAATGACATCTTGTTTACTACTGTTCATGTGATCACTATTTGGCCAATCAGTGATCACATGAAGTGGGACCTCACACAGAGGTCCCATACAGCGATCTGTGTTCCGCTGTGTCCTCCAGACACAGCGGGCACACTGATCGCGGTGCCGTGCGCTCCTAGGGAGCACGCACAGGTAATGGATGCGGGGGAGACGTTTAAAGACGTCCACCTGCTTCGGCAGCACTCCCATACGAACGTTTATCTACATGGGCTGGACGGGAAGAGGTTAAAGTGTATTTCCACTTTTGCAGACAAATTCAGATAACCCCTGTATTATGTTTGTTACATGTTCTCAATCACATAGCATAACCTGAAAAAGAAAATAAAAATTGCTGATTACCATTTTATTGCTCTTCTTTTTTTTTAAGTAGCTTCTTGGAAACATCACAGCCCCCCACTTTAATGCTCCTCTCAACAGCCCTCGGAGCTGATACAAGCAGTGGACTTACTCTTGGGAGGAGTTATGCAAATATCACAATATCTTAGAGGGTAGATGTCAGTATGGGGCATAACTACCAGCTTTCTAAGATGGGAATGAGGGACACCTATAAGCAAAAATATGTATTCATAGGGCTCACCCCACACCCCCTTAGGCCCCTTTCACAAGAGGCAGACCCATCAGCAGATCCGCTTGCTCAGCGGGACATCTGTCCACTGATGACAGGTCCTCTATGGGCAGTCGGATGGAAATGGACCGCCTGTCCATGTCCATCAGACTGCCAATCTGATCCAATCTAATGGACAGAAGGGGATCCCCATCTGTCTCTTTCTGGCAGGTCGGATTGGATGTTGGTGGGTGTAAACGGACCCAATTGCTCCATAGAGGAGAATAGTGGTTCTTATCAGGTTTGCCTGAAAAACAGGCAGGCGGACCAGATTGGAACGTCCATGTGAAAGGGGCCTTACAAGAAGAATTAATATGCAAAAAATGATTGGTTAAAGCCACAAGTCCTTTTTTACCACACTATTTCTTTTTACAATTTAGAAGTTGGATGAAAGGGAGGGACAAATGAGGAGGAAGGAGGGACAGAAGGACTTTGAGGAACAGTCCCTCGGAATCAGGGACAGTTGGGAGCTATGCTGGGGAAGAGGCTGCTTTTGCATGGAGACCACTCTAGGTAATGCCCACATATGATGCAGAGCATCCATGATTACAAAAACTGAAATCCAATGAATGGAAGGATGGGCCAGAGACATTCACGCTTGGGAGGAAAGAGCTGGATCATGCTGGACTTTCTCCAGCCAGGAAATGAAGTTGGCTCTTTCTGATTTGCTGAAGCCTCTAATGCACAATGTGAGAAGCATATAGTATACAAGGTAAGCAATTTCAGGAAAGAAGAGCAACTTCTGTACAACTGTGCAAGACTGAAGGTACAGCTGGAGTTCAGCTTTAAGTATGTGGTTTTAGTTTTTCCTTTAATAGCTCAATATATTTTCTATCTCAATGTATGCCTAATAAATAGATGCTACTAGTAGCTTTTACAGGTATAAGTGTACTGTAGGTGTCTTGACACGCTAACAATCTTGACAAGGCAGTCAAACTAAAAGATGTTTCTGTTTTGAGTAGACTCGAGCATCATTCAGGGTCAGCATCTACTTCCTAGAGTAAACTTCTCCCCCTAGCTGTCATATAATAAGAACATATGGGTACTTGCCAGGTGGTGATGCAGAGACCCCAAAAAATTATAAAATGTGCCGTGTTCCACTTAGAAGCAATGCAATTACTAAACAACATTCATGGACTTTCTTCATGAATTTTGTTATGTAATTGTATTGCCCTAGCTGTCATCATTTTGTAGATCCTGGTACATACAATGCAGTCTTTGTTCTGGGCTTTGTGTACACAGCTCTTAGATTGTAAGCTCCAAGGAGCAGGGCCCTCCTATCCCTCTTGTATTGAACTGTATTGTTGCTGTACTGTCTCCCGTTATATTGTAAAGCGCTGAGCAAACTGTTGGTGGTTTATAAATCCTGTATAATAATATAATAATAATAATAATGATGTTTCACACAGATCAGCCTCATGCTGCTGCCTATCACCTGTTGAATTCCTACAAAATTAGAATGTTACAGTCTGGTTGATGACGGGGAGACAGAATACAGAGAAAAAGCTTCCTCTGCTTGTAGAACACGGGGCAATCTACTCCAAAAGTGGCATCCTACTAAGACTTTGCATACCTTTTTATTTTGACGTACCTGGAATGTATTTAGCTGATTTAAAGTGAAAGTTGATTGGGCTTTGATGATGAAAGGGCTTGTTTGGGGAATGGCACTGTTGCTATATATTGTGACGTGTGACGGGAACTTATGTAGACTTTACAGTCATTACAATCAATATGCAGACATTACAGTCCACTTTAAAGCAGTTCTAAAGGCAAAAACATTTTTTTACCTGAATGCATTCTCTGCATTCATGTGAAAAAAAGTGTTCATATGTCTGTGCCTCCCCTCACCATCCCTCCCCTAAACACTTACCTGACACCACCCTCAATCTGTCCCCACCAGCAGACCTGCTCTCCTCTCCTTCTGTATTCTTGGCTTTCCTGAGAGCAGTGGGAGCCATTGGCCCTGGTGCTCTCAGTCAAATCCTGTGGGGGGGTAGGGTCAAGCCGAACTGTGTGTGTCTATGGATGCACACAACCTGGCTCAGGACTGAGCCCTCATGAGTGTCCCCACAGCAAGTGGTTTGCTATGGGGGCACTTGAAGAAAAGAACGAGCCAAGACTGTCAGTGGGGGACCCCAGAAGAGGAGGTTTGAGGCCGTTCTGTTCAATACCATTGCACAGAGCAGATAAGTATAACATGTTTGTTATTTTAATTAAATAAAAAAGAAAGTTTTACAATCACTTTAAGCCAAAAATGACCAGCTATGGCTGTAATAAGGGATAATCTGGACAAAGTTCCACACATGGAACAAGCAAGCTGGGAATATCGCCCAAAAGTCCAACCAAAATCATTTTCAGAGATGTCTATTTTCTAATTATATTGGCTGACTAAACTTATTGCTGTATGTTTTCACAAAGGTAAGGCTGAAAGAGGTTGTTTATGTAATCTTTCAGTGGGAATATGGGACAAGAAACGCATTCATACCTTAATTTCAATAGCAACGTACAGTATGTTATTTTATTAAAGCTCAACTCCAGAAATTAGACAAAATTTACCATTGTAGTGGAGCCCTCTAGCATTGTGAGGGTCAAAGAATAAATTCACCTTCGGTATCATGTTACATGTTTTTAGGGTGGAACATGTAATATGTGCCCGCTCCTACAGCTCTCCACCCAATCCCTCCTTCCCCTTGTGACAGCAGGCGGGGTATCTTCTTCCCACACCCAGGGCCGTGGATAAAGGGGTACCACCAGTCCTCCTGTATGGGGCCCAGGCAATCAGGGGGGCCCAGGCAGCTGAGTGAATCAGATGTGGGCAGGAAAGATGATCGGCATGGGGGGGGTGCAATTACTGGAAACAGTCCCCTGTATAGCTCTCTGCAGCCACTGAAAACCAGTGGGAGAGGAGAAGAACCCATCACCCTCCCTTTGCACCATACGTTTCCCTCTGCTGCCCAGGTCCCGCTGTGTGCCCCATCCCTACAGGGCTGCCAGCTTCCCTCCTCTTCTTCCCATTGGTAACTGCAAGCACACAACAGGATCCTTCAGGATGGAGAGTGGGGGAATGGGCTGGTAAATATGTTGCATTTACCAGCCCCTTCCTTTCCTAAATTAA